TAGGAACAAATATCGATCTCTTCCAGTCAGTTGGCCAAGTGGTCGTTCTCCAGATTTCTTGGCACAACTTGGTGAGCACATCCAGGGCAGCATTTAACTGAAATATGTCAATTGGTATACCATATTGCACTTTTAAAATCCCAAAACTTCATTGCCCTCTAATCAGAACTGACTCATAGAAGATTCTCCAGTGGATTTTTTGGCTGTAAATCACAAAGGAGGAGATTGTCCATCTTCCTGCTGAGGAGGAACTTGGGGAGGAAGCATTTGTGAGCTGCTAGAGAGGTGCTGCCTTTGGGTTAGCAGAGCAACTGCCTACAGACAAAGCTCAATTCTTCTACTTACTAATGATGTAGCTATAGGCAAATCTTGTTTTCTTCATAGATAAAGTTATATTACTATTAGTTATTATCTCATTTTTTTCTTTTTTCACAATTAACATGTTTATTAGGGAAGTCAAAAGGCTATAGAAATCAGGCTGGCAACAGTATACAATCAGTCACACAGGGACAGCTTCCAAAAAGCCCTCACATTACAGTCTACCAGCCTCTCCACGGGAGAAGGATGTGCAATCTCCTCCTGGGTGATTAACTTCCTCTGAAAACCACCAGAGGTTCAGCTATGGGTCTGTTTCAACTCAATGGAACACAACAACAACAACTAGAATGAAAAGTAGATTTCTAATTCAAAATGTGCTTACAGACACTTCAGCTTTCAGTCTCCTGGCTTTAGATTAGTGTCAAAAAGCTCTTGTTGTTGTTGTTATTTGTTGTTGTTGTTGTTGTTGGTTTTGATTGCTGTTGAGTCGAGCACGACTCATGGCAACTCTGAACAAAAGACCTAAATGCCTTTCCATAACTATCTTTACTTCTCCAAGTCCATAGAGTTTCCAGAGGCATGTGCTTTATGAAGTGGTTATCACTCCTGCTTCTAAACCTGTTTTACAACTGGGAGCTCCACCAAACACTGTCCATATTGGAAAACCATTATGGTATATGATACCCCAATGATACAAGATTCAGCATCACAGCAAAGCCAGGTTACTTCATACAGCACATTGACAAAGAGTGATGTACAGAGTGAAAGAATATTCCACCAAATCTAACACTAATCTCACTTAACAATGGTTGGTTAAGTGTTATCAAGTCGAATACAACTCATGGCGACCCTTGCACAAAAGACCTGAACTCTGTCTTAGTATCATTTCTGTATGTTTATAGAGTTTATATAGTTTCCAGTTTTGCCAACTTTGGCATATTCTCCTCCTGGGCCACCCCCAGCATCCTCAAACAAACTTGGGCAAAGGTTCTAGTTCCCTGTGCTAGCTGACCCATGGGCAGCTCTCCTCACATCAGGTCTCGAGTGCTCAGTGACAGCTGCTGTGACTGCTGCTTCCATAGGTCCTGGCCTGAGTGGCCCAGGAATTTTTTATTTTGAAGGATTTCTTCTCTGCATTCTTTGCCTCTTTGCTGGTGGTGAAATTTTCAATTTCTGCTCCTGAATTCACTCAATTTAACTGTAAGACATACCCTATACACATGTCTCTGCCCGTTCATGTAGCAAAAGCAAACTCAATGACTAAGAAAGCTCTCTTGAGCAATGATGAACCCTTGAAACTATAAAATACCTCTTGGCTTTTCTCACCGTTAACCTTCAGATTTGAAGAATTAACTTGTCCCTTAGAAAAATCTTATTAATAACTACATTAATGAAAATGTATAAGCCAGTTACTTCATTCCTCCTGGTTTAATATCCCCATTTTAGATGGCCAGTTTCTGATTTGCCCATCCCTATCAAACCAGCACTCTGAGAGAACAATACCAGCTTTGCTGAAGAATTTTCTGTTCCATTTGGAAACTTTGATCATCTGCATCCATCAGACTGCAGCAATCCACACTAGCTCACAGCATGAATTATCTTCTTTTCATCTGATTGAATTTTTATCAATTCATCCCTAGTACAAACAGGCTAGGCACAAACAGGCATCAGCTTCAAACTCAGGAGTCCACTCTTTTCCCTCAGTTCCAAAGGAGCTGGTCCTTTTGTTTAGCCTTAGCCCTCACATGGACCCAAGTGTAAGTTTGATCCCATTTTGTCTCTTATGATCTTTATGGTCTTTGGTTTTAACTCTTGGTCTCTCTGATCCATCTTGAGTTGATTTTTATGTATAGTATGAGATGTGGGTAAGGCCCCAGGAATAGATGGTATACCAATTGACATATTTCAGCTAACAGATGCTACCCTGGATGTGCTCACCAAGTTGAGCCAAGAAATCTGGAGAAAATACACTTGGTCAACTGACTGGAAGAGATCTATATTTGTTCCCATTCCAAAGAAGGGTGACCCAACAGAGTGTGGAAACTATAGAACAATATCATTGATTTCTCACACAAGCAAGATTCTACTGAAGATTATACAAAAATGACTGGAACAGCACATCAGCAGAGAACTGCCAGAAGTCCAGGCTGGGTTTAGAAGGGGTCATGGTACTATGGATATTGTACCTAATGGTAGATGGATCTTAGTTGAAAGCAGGGAATGCCAGAGGAATGTCTATCTGTGTTTCATTGATTATGCAAAGGTGTTTGACTGTGTGGATCATAACAAACTGTGGCTAACTCTGAGAAGAATGGGAATCCCAGAACACTTGATCATTCTAATGTGAAACCTATACTTGGACCAAGTATACTTGGTCCTATACTTTTTTTTAAGGGTTTCAAATGTACTTTTCTTCAATAATGTCTTATTTTAATGAGTACATACATTGTGCTTTTCCTCGACATCAATTATAAGTTGATTTTGAAACAATTCAATATTATACCACTAGCTGATTTGATTATTGATTTCTCCATCCCTTTGGGGTGACTTTGCCAACAAGGGACAAGTTCCATTCTATCCCAATTTGTGTTGTTGTGTAAGCCCACATAGCAGCACAGAAAGTAGTTCCAATAGCTAAGATAGCATTACCATATTTGTCATGGAAATCAGGTACATGTTTCTGGTGGCTTTGTCTTACCATTATTTGCTTAATGCTTCGAACTTGAAGACGACTTACTGCGGTTTTAGCTAAGAGAAACATCATGAAGAAGTAAACAGAAATCTGGTAACTGCTGCTGCTTCTTAGGAAAAAATCCTGAAGAGTACCCTTTCAAAGACTCCTATACTTGGACCAAGAGGCAGTCGTCAGAACAGAGCAAGGAAACACTGCATGGTTCAAAACTGGGAAGGGTGTGTACGAGGGATGTGTGCTATCTCCATACCTTTTCAACCTGTATGTAGAACAGATTATCTGGGAGGCTGGGCTCTATGAGGAGAAGTGTGGCATCAGGATTGGTGGAAGATCTATCAACAATCTTCATTATGCAGATGATACAACCCTGCAGGGGGTCAAGGACTGCAGCCTCCAATATGGATTGAGGCTCAAAATCAAGAAGACAAAGATTCTCACCATTGGACCAATAGGTAGCATCAAGATGAATGGTGAAGAGAGTGAGATTGTTCACAGCTTAATTTGCTTGACTTCACAGTCAACACTTTTGGCACCAGCAGCCAGGAAGTTAAAAGACATATTGTGTCTGCTGTGAGAGACCTCTGCAAAGTACTAAAGAGCAATGGTGTCACTGTGGAGACTAAGACACATCTGATACAGGCCATGGTCTTTGCAATCACTTGTTATGCATCAGAGAGTTGGACAATGACTAGAGAGGATATAAGGAGAATTGATGTTTTTGAGCTGTGATGCTGGAGAAGAGTATTGAGTGTACCATGGACTGCTAAGAAAACAAACAGGTTCATCCTGCAGAGGTTTAAACTGAGCTGCTCCTTGGAGGCAAGGATTCTGAGGCCTGGTCTGACATACTTTGGACATGTTGTAAGGAGGGACCAGTCCTTGGAGAGGGACATCATGTTTGGGAGGGTGGAGGGACAGTGCAGGAGGGGAAGACCCTCTATGAGATGGATTGATTCAGTGACTGGGGTAATCGGGGTGAGTGTGTCTGAGACAGTGCGATTGGCACAGGACAGAGCAGTGTTTAGGGATATTGTACATAGGGTCGCTGTGAGTTGCAAGCAACTCAATAGCACGTAACAACAACAACAGCTGTCCAGTATTAAAAGTGACATTTGCAGAAGAAATTGTCATTTCTTCATTTAATTGTTTTGTTTAGTTATCAAATATCAGTTGACTGTAGGTAGTTCTTGATTTCCACGTTCTTGATTCTATTGAATAGGTCTTGTGTCAGTCATTGTATTAATATTGTGCTCTGTTGGTTACCATGGCTGTGTAGAATGTTTTAAGATCAGGGATGCTGTGCTTCTGGAATAGCACACCAACAGAGAACTGCCAAATATACCCACTGGGTTTAGAAGAGGCTGAGATACTAGGGATCTTATAACTAATGTTAGATGGATCTTGGCTAAGAGCAAAGAGTTTCAGAGGAAAGTCTATCTATTTTTCCTTGACTATGCAAAAGCATTTGACCTTGTGAGTCACAACAAACGGTGGCCAACTCTGAGAACATTGGGAATCCCAGAACACTTAATTGTGCTTATGCAAAACTTATACTTGGACCAGGAGGCAGTCATCAGAACAGAGCAAGGAAACACTGCACGGTTCAAAATCAGGAAGGGTATATACCAGGCATGTGTCCTATCTCCATAGTTTTTCAATCTATATCAGAGAGGCTGGGCTCTACGAGGAGGAATGTGGCATCAGAATTGGAGGAATACTCATAAACAATCTGCATAATGCAGATGACACAACCTTGTTTACTGAAACTGAGGATGACCCAAAGCACCTGCTGCACAAATTCAAGGACTTCGGCCTTCAAATTAGATTGAAGCTTACCAAAAAGAAAAGATTCTCACCACTGGGCCAATTGGAAGCATCATAATAGATAGTGAAGAGATTAAGATTGTTAACAGCTTCAGTTTGCTTGGCTCCACAATCAACACTTTTAGTGCCAGCAGCCAAGAAATCAAAAGATGAATTGCATTGGGAAAGTCTGTTGTCATGGATCTCTCCAGAGTACTGAAGAGTAACGATGTGAGTCTGAAAACTAAGATGTACCTGATTCAAGCCATAGTCTTCCCAATTACTTGCTATGCATCTGAAAGCTGGACAAGGACTAGGGATGATAGATAATTGAAATTTTGAACTGTGGTAAAATGAATAATATTGAATATACCATGGACTGCTAGGAGAACAAACAGGTTTATCCTAGAGAACCAGGCTACTTCTTGGAGATAATGATTCCTCAGCTTCATCTGGACATACTTTGGGCATGTTTCAAGGAGGGACAAGTTCTTGGATAAGGACATCATGCTTGGGAGGGTGGAGGGACAGCTCAAGAGAGGAAGATGCTAGATGAGATGAATTGACTCAGTGACTGTGGTAATGGGGGTAGTTGTGTCAGAGAAAATGAGGTTGGCATAGGATGGAGCAGATTTCAGAGTTGTTGTACACAGTGTCACTATGAGTTGCAAGACTCGATGACACATAACAACAATAATGCTTCTCACTTCATTTCTATTTTTCAGAAGAGCTTTGTTTATTCAAAATCTCTTTCCAAATGAAAACTGCAAATTTCCTTTTATTTCTCTTTGAAGAATGAGTTTGGTATCCATATTTATATTTTATTGAACATGTAGATTGCTTTTGGTAGGATTTTCATTTTCACAATATTGAGTTTTGCTATTCATGTAACAGGTAATATTTTTCCAATTATTTAGGTCTCTTATTGTTTCTTATAATACTGTTTCATACTCTACTAAATTGGTCTAGTAGGTCAAATGGGTACTTTGTTGAGTCTTTGAGGCTTCTTGTGCACACTATTACATTGTCTGAATACAGCAATAGTTTTACCACTTCTTTGCCAATTGAATGCCACCTAATTTCTTCTTCTCTTGTCTTCCTGGGCTAGCTAGTACTTTCATTAAAAATATTGAAAGGAATAGTAGCAGTGGACATCTTTATTTGATCCCTATTTACAAGGGAAATGCCTTTAGTCTCTTTTCCATTCAGAATGGTGTTTGCTCTTGGTTTTGTATATATATACTTTTCACTATTTCAAGGAAATATCACTCTATTCCTAGTTTTCTGGGTGTATTTATCAAGAATTGTTGGAGTTTGTGAAAGATCTTTTTCTGCATCAGTTGATAGGATCATATGGTTCTAATTCTTTGCTTTGTTAATGTGATAATTTACATTAATTGTTTTGCTTATGTTGAACCATCCTTGCATGCCTGTTAAGAATCCCATTTGATCATTATGAATTATTCTTTCATGAACATAGACCCAAAAATCCTGGGCAAGTCCTGGCTAATAGAACCCAACAACATATTGGTTTTATTTTTGTATGGAATTGTCAAGGATTCTGCTGACACCATATTTAAAACATTCAGTTGCTAACCAAACGGTTGTGTTAAACCCATTCTGTGGGGGAAAGATGTGGCAATCTGTTTCTATAAAGATTTCCAACCCTGGAAACCCAATAAGACTCTTCTATTCTGTCTCATCTGATTTCTATGATTAAGAATAGACTAGATGACAGTTATTCAACAATGGGTGTTGGATTTCTAGTGGAGCTATTTAATAAGCTATTACAGTAAACTTCGTTTAACCTTGAGGAAAATGAGAATCTCAGAACACTTGAGTGTACTTACATGAAACCTATACCAAGAAGCAATCCTCAGAACAGAGTAAGAAAACACTACACATGGTTCAAAATAAGCAAAGGAGTGTACTAGGAATGCATCCTGTCCCCATACCTTTTCAATCTGTATGCTGAACAGATCATTTGGGAGGCAGGGCTTCATAAGGAGGAGTGTGGCACCAAGATGGGAGGAAGGCTCATTAACAACCTACAATATGAAGATGAAACAATCTTGTTTGCTGAAACTGAAGAAGACCTGAAGCACTTGCTGGAAAATGTCAGGGACTGTAGCTCAACATCAAGAAGACAAAGATTCTCACCACTGGGCCAATTGGCAGCACCATAGTAAATGGAGAAGAGATTGAGGTTGTGAGCAATTACAGCTTTCTTGGATCCACAATCAACATTCTTAACACCAGTAGTCAGAAAAATCAAAAGACTAATTGCATTGGGAAAATCTGCTATCATGGACTTCTCCAGAGTACTGAAGAACAAGGATGTCAGTTTAGATACAATGGTACACCTTATTCAGGCCATGGTCTTCTCAATTACTTGTTATGCTTCAGAGAGTTGGACAATGACTAAGGATGACAGAAGAATAGATGTCTTCAAGTTGTGGTGCTGGAGAAGAGTCTTGAACACACCATATACTGCTAAGAAAACAATCTGTCTTCGAGAGGGTGAAACCAAGTCTTTCCTTGGAGGCTAGGATTTTGAAGCTCTGTTTCATTTACTTTGAACATGTGGCCAGGAGAAATCAGCCCTTGGAGAGGGACATCATGCTCGGAAGGGTGGACAGACAGCACAGGAGGAGACCCCGGATGAGATGGATTGATACAGTGACTGGGGAAATGGGGGTTGGTGTGTCAGAATTTGTGAGACTGGCTCAGGAGAGGGAAGGCTTCAGAGCTGCTGTACATAGGGTGGCTGTGCATACCAGACGACTCAATCAATGACATTCTGAGACAGATTTGTAAGCAGAAGGGGCATTCAATTCCTAAACAACTTGCCTCCAAAAACCCTATGAACTTTGATAAATGTCAATAGTTGTAGAGGGGTTTCAGGCCTTTTGTTCATAGGATCCCTATGAGTTGTGCTGACTTGAAGATAAACAACAACAACATTACAGTTATCAAAATGAGTTTCAGAGATATAAGAATCAGAGCTTTAAGTATAGAAATGATAATCAAATTCTTGGTTTTGGGTGCTGTTGAATGAATACAATTCACAGTGACCCTTGGAACAACAGATTAGAGCGGAATCTTTCCCTATTCTGTACCATTCTCACAATTTCTGATATGTTCAAGCTCATTGTTACAGGCACTATGTCAATCCATCTTGTTGAGAGTCTTTCTTTCTCTGACCCTCTACCTTTCCCAGTGTGATGCCTTTTTCAAAGGACTGGCCCCTCCTGAGAGCATACCCAAAG